GACGAGGCGGCGCGGAGCCGGCAATGCGCGTGCGCGAAGGGCCGAAGCGGCGTCAGGGCGGGGCGAGTGCACAAAGCCGGCCTCTCGGAGGGCCGTGACGGGGCGCGGCGAGGGGCAGAAGGCCTCGGGCAAGCCCAACGCCTTAAAGGGACAGTGTGTTGGGCGCGCTTCCTGCTTAAAAGCCTTAACCCCAAAGGTGGCCGGTTGCAGGCCGTTCTCCTGCACTCCTACAAACTGAAGTATAAAGACACGACCGCAAAGTGCTAGTGTGCCCCTCGAATGCTCACATCCTGAGCTCGCCCTGCAGCGGGGCTCCCAGGGAGGAGCAGAGCTCCCTGGGAATCGAGGGCTGGCGGGGCCCTAACGTTTCTTCTCAGCTCCGGCCTCAGTCGCGTGCTGAGCGCGGCAGCTGGCGGGTCCAAGGCATCCAGCTCGGCCCGGGCCGTGCTCTCCGCGGGGTGTCTCCATGAATGCTCGGGACACCTCAGGAGAGACAGGGACCCTTACCTTTCCGCGTTGGAGCGAAGACCCCGAGCTCCGAAAGGTTCCGAACGCCGGCTCCCCCGCAGGGCGCACCCGCTTCTCTCCCGAGCCCCCAAGGAGGAGAGCCGATGGGAGCATGCAGGCTGCTGCTGTCTGCAAGGTGACGTCTCAGGTATCATCACCTGCAGTTACACATGGGAAGGGGAGGGCTCAGAGGCATGAGGAGCCCCTGGATCGGCTGTTCTGGCACTAAGTCCTGTGCATTCTCCCCCTACTGCGGAGGCATCTCTGCTACCCACGTGGGTCTTAGAGTCTTGGAGGTGGCCATGGTCTCCCAGCTCCACGCCCCAACCCTGGCCTATGGGCAGAATAACATGCAGTCTCTTATTTCCCAGTTTAAAATGGGAACACTGACTATGACACAGTCTACGGTGCAAACAAAAGGAGCATTTGAAATGGAAATGCCAGGGAAGTGAGCAGTGTGGTTGCCATAGACACAGATCAGGAAGACCGCAGGTGGTCTGGAGCCCCCCCTCCCAAGGAGGATGCAGGGGCAGCAAAGTGCCCCTCTGGCCCCAGCGTTGCTCCGTGTGGATCTCCGTGCCCTGGAGGCCTACTCACTCATCTACTCACCTGGAGCGTGAGGCAGTGACTAAAGAAGGTAACCAAACCAGTTCAAGATGAAGAAGGGCGTCTTCATGCACTTACCCGCCCAGGTTCCACCTCCAACTGGCCTTTTTCAAACCTCTCTGAAGCACAGTCAGAACTTCTAAAACCCCAGCTCTAATCTGTCACACCCTAGTTTAAGCCTCAGAGCTGGCTTCCCATTGTTCAAATCCAAACTCCCTAGGGAGTGTACCAGACCTGCCTCCTCCTCTAACCTAGAGCCACCCCCAAATTGTGCACTCCAGGTCCCAGCATCAAATTGAAAGCACTTCCAGTCCTCCAACCCTAAAGGTGGAGCAGGTTAAGGGCCCTGACCCCAGAACTCAGAACTCAAACCTGGTTCCCAGGTAGATTGGTCTCCCCTCCCTCCTCCGGGAGATAGAAACTTCCAGTGAAAATGAGAAAATCCTTTAGCTTTGTTGAGTGTTTTTGCAACCCATCCCTGCAGACATAGCTAAATCCTGAAACCAAAAACACAGCAGGGAAAGCAATTTAACTAAAACTTTAAAAACTTGTCTTAAATCTTAAATCCTTTTATATCCCTCCCAAAATGTCATCAGGCTGAGAAGAATCACAGATGGAAATGGAAGACAATGAGAACTACAGAGAAGGGGAACACATCTTGGAGATTTGTTTTTTCAGAACATCATCTGTGCTTTGGCCAAAGTGAACTAATTGGTAAATGAACCTGTTTCCATGAACAATTTAAAATATATATATCTATCTTTATTGATTTCAGAGAGAGGAGGGGAGAGGGAGCAATAGAGATAGAAACATCAATGATGGGAGAGTCATTGATCGGCTGCTTCCTGCATGTCCCCAACTGGAGATCAAGCCCACAACCCGGGCATGTGCCCTGACCCGGAATCAAACCATGATCTCCTAGATCCTGGGTCGATGCTCAACTGCTGAGCCACACTGGCCAGGCCATGAACAGTTTTTTTTAAACTATGTTTTTATTGATATCAGAGAGAGGAAGGGAGAGGGAGAGAAAGAAGCATCAATGATGAGAGTCATTGATCAACTGCCTCCTGCACGCCTCCTACTGGGGATGGACCACAAAAACCAGGCATGTGCCCTGACCAGGAATGGAACAGTGACCTCCTGGTTCATGGGTCAACACTCAACCACTGAGCCATGCTGGCTGGGCCCATGAACAATGTTTATGAATACAACACTTCTCAAGGCTGTCCCACCAACTAGACGATATGAGCCCCTCCTCCAGGCTCTCCACCTCAGGGCACTCCTCCCCGGCCCCAGCCAAGGTCTCCTTGAGCCTCCACTAAGAGTCTTTCTGGCTACATTTCCACTGCCTCCACCTCCTCCCAGTGGAAACAGTCATTTTCTGGTGTGCTTCCCAGTTCTTGTCTGCTGGCTGAGCTGCGCTGTGCTCCTCCCGTAGCACCCTTGGCCAGTAGTGCCGGTGAGAGGAGGAAGAGTGCCTGTGTGCTCAATTCTCCAGTAAGTTTGTTACATGCTACCTCTCTGCACAACAGGCCTGTGCAGTGGGCGCCTTTATTCCTTCTCACAATAAAGAAATGGAGGCGCCGCCCTGCCTGGGTAGCTCTGTTGGTTAGAGCATTGTCCTAATACTCCAAGGTTGCGGGTTCGATCCCCAGTCAGAGCACATACAAGAATCAACCAATGAATGCTTGAATAAGTGGAGCGACAAATCGCTTCTGTGTGTGTCTCTCTCTGAAATCAATAAATACATTTTAAAAATATATTTTAAAAAGAAAAAGAACATCACCACCTTGGCCAGGTAGTTAAATTGGCTGGAGTGTCGTCCTGATTCACCAGGGTGTGGGGGTTCGATCCCCAGTCA